CATTCAATACTCTTCTCCAGCACCACAGCTCAAAGGCGTCAATTCTCCTTCTGTTCTCCCTAGTCATTGTCCAGCTCTCTGATGCATAACAAGTGATTGCAAAGACCATGGCCTGTATCAGGCGCACCTTCGTCTCCCAAGAGACACCGTTGCTCTTGAGTACTTTAGAGAGGTCCCTAACAGCAGACTTTCCCATTGCAATACGTTTTTTGATTCCCTGGCTGCTGGTGCCAAGAGTGTTGACTGTGGAGCCGAGCAAACTGAAGCTGTGAACAATCTCAATCTCTTTGCCATCCATCCTGATGCTACCAATTGGTCCAGTGGTAAGAATCTTTGTCTTCTTGACATTGAGCCTCAGTCCATACTGAAGGCTGCAGTCCTTGACCCTCTGCAGCAAGTGCATGAGGTCCTCCTCAGTTTCAGCGAGCAAGGTTGTGTCACCTGCATAATGCAGATTGTTGATGGATCTTCCACCAATCCTAACACCACGCGTCTCCTCATAGAGCCCAGCCTCTCTGATAATCTGCTCTGCATACAGGTTGAAAAGGTACGGAGATAGGACACATCCCTGGCGCACACCCTTCCCTATTTTGAACCATGCAGTGTTGCCCTGCTCTGGTCTGACGATTGCCTCTTGGTCCAAGTATAGGTTTCACATTAGCACTATTAAATGTTCTGGGATTCCCATTCTTCTCAGAGTCAGCCATAGCTTGTTGTGATCCACACAGTCAAAAGCCTTTGCATAGTCAATGAAGCACAGATAGACATTCTTCTGGTATTCTCTGCTTTCTGCCAAGATCCATCTAACATTAGCTATAATATTCCTAGTACCATGACCTCTTCTAAATCCAGCCTGCACATCTGACAGTTCTCTGTTGACATATTGTACCAAACGTTTTGGGATCATTTTCAGCAGAATCTTGCTTGCATGTGATATCAATGATGTTGTTTGATAATTTCCACACTCTGTTGGGTCACCTTTCTTCAGAATGGGAACAAATATCGATCTCTTCCAGTCAGTTGGCCAGCTGGCTGTCCTCCAGATTTCCTGGCACAACTTAGTGAGCACATCCAGGGCAGTGTCTGCCTGTTGAAATGAATCAATTGGTATGCTGTCAACTCCCGGAGCCTTGTTTTTTGCCAATTCCTTCAGAGCAACTTGAACTTCCTCCTTCATCACTATAGGCTCTTGCTCATATGTTATTTCATGAAATTCCCCTGTGTCAGCCAATTCCTTCTGATACAGCGACTCTGTGTACTCCTTTCATCTTCTCTTGATACTTCCTGGATCATTTAACATTCTACTCAAACTGTCTTTAAGTATTGCCCTATAAAACCCAAGTTGGAACCTTACCATATCCTGCATCATTTCATCTCTACCATGCTGGTGGCTGTTATTACAGTCACTGTGTCAATCTGTCTTATTGAGGATTTTCACTACACTTTGATTCAGCTCATTGCCATGAGCCTAAAGTGACTCGTGACCATCCAATGGGTTTTCAGAGTCTGTAAATCACATGTAAGGAGACTGCCCATATTTCCCCTGCACAGCCATTGGAACGTTTGGTCTCCTTTAAGTTAGCAGCACAATTCTCCACTGATTATGCATTAGACCTCCCTCTCTGGCACTGAGAAGAACGTGGTTAGTGATGCAGATGTGGCAGAACAATGGTTATTGAGTCAGTGGCAACAAGGGATTTTGACTATATGCAATGGGAAAGGAGGGGAATCTCATTTGGGGCGTGTGAAATTAACTCATTATTTTTAGAACTATTTCTTCTAAGTTGTATGTATGTGTATGTATACTCATGAGTGTACCACACTAACCATAGGGGTCTGTCACACAAATACTAAGGAATATATTTACAAATACATATGAATATATTCTTCACCCAAAACTAGATGAAGCAAAGTTTCCATTTTAGGTACAATGGCTTTAATCATATCATTCAAAAATTTTGTATCATTGTCCCCAGTTACTTCGAAGGCCTTCCCTTATAGACTTTTTATCAGTTAAAAAAAATCATTCCAGTTTTCTTAAGACAAGAACAATTAAGAGGAAAATCTAAAAGTCCATAAACCCAATGGGCAGTGATGTAAGAGAAGGGAATAACTTTCATTTTAACAAGGGTTATCCTTGCCTATAAGCAATTTTACTATATAAACTTGCCTAAAACCCTGTCAATTTGCCTATAAGCAACTGCAGAATTCTAAGCTCATGTCCTAAAAGAATGTTTTTACAGAAAGAATTCAGGTAAAAAAAACGAAGAATGTAGAAACTTCTAAAAAATAAATTAAAAATAATGTAAAAACTTCCAAAATTGTATTTTCTATGTAATGTATAAAAGTCAATAAACAATCAAAATATATATACAACATCGTATTCTAGATGGAGTTCTGGTGGCCTAGCTATAAGAAACTGCTGCAATCCTGAAGACACACGGTTTGAATCTACCAGCTGCTCCTCAGAAGAAGGATGGGCAATCTCCTCTCATGCAATTAAACTGCCTCTGGAAACCCATGGAAGGTTCAGGGGTGGGTCAGTTTGGATTCAGTGTCACACAACAACAACACAGTATTACAGAGATTATTTTTCTATTTAGGCATTTGGGGGGTTTTAATGGTAATTAGAAAGAAAATGTAATGATTTTTAAAGTATATCTACAAGATCATATAGTCTCTGATGACATCAAGATCAATTAGCATAACACATCCCACAAACACAATGTTGTGCATTGTTGTACATCAGACTCTGGTGAATAGTGATGGGGTCCTGAGTGCTTGCAGGTACCTATGTAAGGTGCTGTTTCCTACTATTGTTCTCTTTCTGTCCAGAAAAAGAAGGGAGAAGAAAAGCAAAGATGTATTGAAACAATTAGTCTCAAAGACTAATAGACCATTTGAGCCTCAATTTCCAAAAACACTAAGACCACAAGAACTCGCTGATGGCCAGCCACAGGTGCTGCAAAAGGGATCACAGTAGATCTCAGATAGAGTGGGGAGAAACATGGAATAAAAGTTTTTAAAATGCCCCATTTACTGCTCTGAAAGAGACTGGTGAACCCCTGAGACTGTGGCTTTTAGTCATTTTCAACCTGGGACAAAATTCACCCCACAGTTGAACTCTCAGCAAAACAATAGACAGGCCTGTGTTGTTGTTGCTGTTATTTTGTTGTATGTCACTGGGTTGAAACTGACTCACAGACTATAAAACGCATGGAAAGAGATTGCTCCTCTTTCTCCTGCAGAGGAGCTGGTGGATTCAAATTGCATGTTATTAAGTTGGCAGCACAACTTCTTAACCACTAAGGTCACCAGAGCTCCCTAGACCCATAAGGGGAACAATCCCAGTGAGGCACTCACTCCTTACACTAAACAATCTTCTAAGGTCAAAAGAGCAGCATTTGCATAAGGAAAAAGCCCTGAAGATAAGAAAGGGTAGGATAGGAGAATTAATAAAAATTAAAAAATCAAAGGGAATAAGAAAAATATATACATTGTGAGTATTGCAATTAATGTTATAAAACAAAATGTACATAAATGATTAAACCAGTATTCTTTGTAAACTTTTACTCATGTGTCAATAAAAAAATTAAAAAGAAAGAAGTAGTTCTGCACATATCCAACAATTCTCTCACCAGAATTTTACAATAGGCATAATGTTTTTTAAAAAGTATAACCTTTTTGTTCACAATAGCAAGGAGTTGGAAACAAATGGATGGAGAAGCTCTGGTATAGTCACACAATGGAATACTACGCTGCATTGAAAAACAAGGAACTCATCCAATATTATTCAAAATGGGTGACCCTAGAGGATATTATGCTGAATGAAATATCTGTCACAAAAGGACAAATACTACATAGTGTCACTGTTGTAGAATGGGACTGATATCAGGGTTGGGGTAAGACTGAGAAAAACTGGATAAATTATGTAGGCTGCATTGAAACAAATTAAGGCAAGAACAGTTTAAAAGTGATATATGATAGGGTATTATGGTTATCACAAGAGTTCAGAATGAAGGTTGCATAGTGGAGTGTACTCGGGGTGAGGGGGCCTGGGGAGGTAGGACTGTATACCAATGAAGGAATTTTTCTTTTACTTTTCAAAGAGAAGAGCAAACTTGGGGGGGAAGGGGTGGCCAGGGAGAAAAGTGCAACAATGAATGAATGGAAATCCAAAATCTCTGTAAATGTTCATTAAAATTAATAAAATAAATTTTTTTTAAAAAGTATAGCCTTGGGGGAGGGGATAGTCAAGCAAATGGGAAAGATCTGGTATGAAAAACAATGTATTTGAACTTTGTAAATAAACCAGTATAAAATAACGTTTAGCCTTCTTTGATCAATGAGGCCCTTTTATATATATATACAGATAATCTCTAAGTCTTCAAAGGAAAGTCTGCAAACCTAAATTGCTCACAAATGAACCAGTGAATATAAACTAAAAGCATAGAGGAGATAGATTTGCAAGTGTACGAAATTCAACAGTACAATATATGAGCAATTTGAAAAGCATAAGTATCAAAACATATAGAACAGTAAATGGTCATAGAGAGGGTCTATTGAGACAAACTGTCACAGCAACTGAACAAAGCAGCCACGGGCTCTGATGGCACCATTCACTGCTTTTATGATGGTAAATTTCTCTCCATAACATTTTATAGACACTGAGTTATGACCTGACTCTATGAACATCTTGGATATCTCCTTCCTTTTGCCTCCACCCACCACCCACGGTCATCAAGGTGATTCTGACTCACAGTGACCTTCCATCAGGTTTCCAAAGTTATAAATCTTTACAGAGGGGACAGTTCATCTTTCTCCCTGGGAGCAGCTGGTGGACTTGAATCACCAATCTTTTGGTTAACAGCACAACATGTAACACACCATGCCACCAGAGCTCCTCTCCTGTTGTCTACTGACTCTAAGCTGCTATATGAGTCTAACCTCTGGGGAGCCCGAGCTTCACGGATTCACATCATCCCTCTACAGAAACGCACCGTTTTCACTGAGTCGCTCAGAGCTTCCCACTGCTGGAACGGAATGCTCATCTGGTTCCTTCGCCAGTGGTCATAGCGAGCTCGGCTCTCTTCATTGGTCAGTACCTCCTTTGCCTTCTGCAGCTTCTGGAAGGTCTCCACTGGAAGATAAATCAAGACATGAACATGTCTCCTCAGGAAGGGTCATTTTAAATTCTTAAAACACTCAGACTTCCTAGCTCTGTGACTGGGGCCTATTTACCTCATTATGCCTTAGTTTCCTTTACAATAAGAATCAGCAAGATGGTGTATGTAAAGTACCTGGTACACATTATTCAACTCAGATTAGATCTCAGGTATTGTGTAGGATGCTCGTGACACCAGTGTAAACAACATACATGTTCAACTTAATGTGAGACATTGGAAATACTACAATTATTTGAAAGCAAGACAATTATTTAAAAATATTACAATTTCATCTTCTAGGAAGAAGTGCAGGGAGCTCTGGTGGCCTAGTGGTGAGAAATTGCACTGCAATCACAAAGGCACATCGTTCAAATCCACCAGCTGCTCTGTGGGAGGATTGGCAATCTCTTCCCATGCAGATAACGGCCCCTGAAAACCCACTGGCAGGTCAGCTATGGTTTGATTCTGACTCAACAGAATACAACAACAATAGGAAGAAGTGCATTCACTTATTGCCATCAAGTTGGAATGGACTCATGGCTCATGCTCCTTTGGGTTTCCAAGGAGGTTGCCCATCTTTCTTCCACATTGTCACTGTGGGTTTGAACCGCCAGAGCGGTCTTTGTTTTAGCACAGCTCCTTAGTAACTAAGCCATGGGGCCTCCCTCTGTACAGCCTTTTCTGGTGGTCAAGGGGGACCAGGAGAAGGTAAGAAACACAAGGTGTTGGTAGCAACCAGGCAAGAGGAACAATGTAGATGAAGATTCTGAGACAGGAAGAAGTACAAATGGTACCAGTGTGGCTGTGGAATACAGAACCAAGGGGGAAACAAAGAGGGACTGCGAAGTAGAGAGGGATCAAGTCATTTAAAGTCTTAAAAGTCATACGATGAATTTTGGTCCTTTGCCAATAGGAAGTCACTGGGAGGTGTCAAGCACAAGGAAATAATATCAAACGCACTCCATAAACATTAGTTTTTGTCACTGGTCTTTATGACCAAAACATGTTGTTGTTGTTCATAGGTACCATTAAGTTGACTATGACTGATAGTGACTCTTTGAACTCTGCCCTATCCTGTGTCATCCTCATTACCTTTAATACATTTGAGCCTTTCATTACTGTAACTGTCAATCTATCTTGTTGAGGTTGTTCCTTTCCTTTGCAAACCCTTCACCTTTCCAAGCATATGTTTGTCCAAGGACTGGCACCCCCACCAGCTGCTCCATGGGAGAAAGATGGACAATCTCTTCACAGGCCATTCACAGCTTCCCAAAACCCTCCATTGGAGGGTCAGCTCTAAGTCAGTTCCCACTCCGTGACAATGAATTTAGGTATTTTTTTAATTGTATACAACAGAAACCTTTAATGGCCATGAAGGAAACAGTTCCAAAATCTTTCTACCCTTCACTTAAGCTAAAATTTTCTGTATGGGAGAAAGATGGACAATCTCTTCACAGGCCATTCACAGCTTCCCAAAACCCTCCATTGGAGGGTCAGCTCTAAGTCAGTTCCCACTCCGTGACAATGAATTTAGGTATTTTTTTAATTGTATACAACAGAAACCTTTAATGGCCATGAAGGAAACAGTTCCAAAATCTTTCTACCCTTCACTTAAGCTAAAATTTTCTGTAGAGTGGGATACGGACTGACATGTAAAAATCCACTGTATTATCTCGGGCAGGGATACTGGCCGCTGGCCTTTGGCTGCCTAGAGTCGGTTTCTGGCCGCGACCACGGGGCTTGCGTCTCTTTCCTCTCGGCAAGTGATTGGGCGCAATCAATCAATCAATCAATCAATAACTAAATAAATAAAAAATCCACTGTATTTTTATATACTTGTAATGAATAGGAAGCTCTGGTGGCCTAGTGGCAAGAAGCTGCACTATAATCCTGAAGGCATACGGTTCAAACCCAATAGCTGCTCAGCAGGAGAAGGATGGGCATCTCCTCCTGTGAAATTAACTGCTTCTGGAAACCCACCAGAGGATCAGCTATGGGTCAGTTCTGACTTGATGGTATACAACAACAACAATAGCAATGAATAATCCAAAAAATGAAATCCCATTTACAGTAATATCAAAAGGAATGAAGTGCTTTGGGATAGATGTAACAAAAGAAGTGTAAGACTTGTACACTGAAAAGTACAAAATCATGCTGAAAAAACTAAGGAAGTACAACCAGGAGAAGATAAAATAGATGAATGGGACCTTCTAAGAATCAAATCCCTATGCACATGCAAAAACTTCTCCAACAGGGTAAAAAGGAAAGCCACAGACTGGAGAAAGGTATTTGGTAATGACATGTCAGATAAGGGACTTACATCTAGAATTTATAAAATACTTGAGCACCACAACAAAATAAAGGTGAATATTCCAATAGAAAAATGGGCACAGGATATGATCAGACACTTCACCAAAGAAGACATTCAGATGGCCAACAAGCACATGAAGAAATGTTCAAAATCCCTAGCTCTAAGAGAGATGCAAATCAAAACAACTATGAGCTATCATCTCACCCCAGTCAGAACAGCAAAATTTAACAGAACAGCAAACATCAAATGCTGGCAAGGTTGTGGAGAAACTGGAACCCTTATTCACTGTTGGTGGGAGTATAAAATGGTGCAACCAGTGTGGAAGGAGGTATGGCGCTTTCTCAAAAAGTTGCAAACAGAGATACCATTTGACCCAGCAATTCCACTACTGGTAATATACCCCAAAGAAACCATGACCACCACCCAAGCAGATAAATGCACACCCGTGTTTATCGCGACTTTGTTCACAATAGCAAAGAGTTGTAAACAATCTAAGTGCCCATCAACAAACAGATAGAGAAGCTGTGGTTTATTCACACAATGGAATACTACACTGCATTGAAAAACAAGGAACTCATGCAATATTATTCAAAATGGGTGAGCCTGGGGGACATTACGCTGAGTGAAATATCTCAGTCACAAAAGGACAAATATTGCATGGTGCCACTGCTGTAAAATGGGACTAATATCAGTGTTGGGGTAAGACTGAGAAAAACTGTATAAATTGTGTATACTGCACTGAAACAGATGAGGAAGTGAATAATTTAAAAGCAATGTATGATAGGGTCTTATTGTTATCACAGGAGTCCACAATTAAGGTTGCATAGTGGAATGTACTTGGGGCCGTGGGAGGGGTGCGGGGGGATTGTGTACCAGGGAAGGAGTGTTTCTTTTACTTTTGAAAGAGAGGAGAGAGGAGTGAATTTGGGGGGGGGCTGGGCAGGGAGATAAGTGTAGCAATGAATGAATGGAAATCCAACATCTCTGTAAACACTCATTAAAATTATTTTTAAAAAACCTAAGGAAGACATAATAAATAGAAAAATACCCCCTGTTCATGGATGATCAAGACTGATTATTGATAAAATAACAATATTAAACAGATAACAATCGACAGATCTGACGCAATCCCTAGGAAAATCCCTGTTGATTTGATTGAAAAAAATTAAAAACTGACACTAAAATCCGTACACAAATACAATGGACCAAGCCAATCTGGATATAAATAGAATAAAGGTGGAGGAGTCACACTTTCTAACGTCAAGACTTTCCAACTATAACGACAAAGGTGTAGCAGTGTTTTACTGGCTTAAGAGTAGACTAATAAGTCAGAGGAACAGAACTGAGACCCCAAAAATAAACCTATATATCCATCACAAAACTCATTCACCACTGTCAGGTCAGAATCAACTCATAGTTGATCCTCCGAATAGATTTTCTGAGACTGTAAACCATGCTGGAAGAGACTGTCCCTCTTTCTACCAAAAAAGCAGCTGGTAGACCTCCAGAGATCATCTCTCCCTATGGACTACACCACCAGAATTTCTTAGAGACATCTACAGCTAATTGATTTTTTTTATAACAATCTCAAGACAATTCAAATGGAAAAAGCATTCTTTTCAACGGATGATGCTGGAATAAGTGGATATATGAAGCAAATGAGTAAGTTGAACTCCTATTACACTCCATATAGAAATTAGTTGCTATTGTTGTTAAGTGCCGTTAAGTCAAGTATGAACCACAACAACCCTATGAACAACAGAGCTGAGCCCTATCAAATCCTCTGCCTTACTCACTCTTCCTGACACGCAAGAGCCCATTGTGGCAGTCACGGTATCAATCCACCTGGTCGAGAGTCTTCCTCTCCTTCAGCGACCCTCTACCTTTCTGAGCTTCATGTCCCTCTCCAAGGAATGGCCTCTCCTTGCAACATGCCCAAAGTATGTGAGGTAAATCATCATTCTTGCCTTCAGAAAAGCACTCCAGCTGCACCCTCTCCAAGACGTATTTGTTTGTTCTTTTGGCAGTCCATGTTCAGTGTTGTTCTCCAACACCACAGTTCAAGGGCATCAGTTCTTCTTCTGTCATCCTTATCGATTATCCAGCTCTCAGAGCATAACAAGTGATCGGAAAGACCATGGCCTGAGTCAGATGCACCTTAGTCCTCAAATTGACATCATTACTCTTCAATTATTTAGAGAGGTCCTTAACTGCAGATTTTCCCAGTACAATGCATCTCCTTACTTCCTGACCGTGGATACTAACGGTGTTAATTGTGGACCCAAGCAAGATGAAATTGTTGACAGTTTCAATCTCTTCTCTATCCATTATGTTGTTGTCTATAATTCCAGTGGTAAGAATCTTTGTTTTCTTGACATTGATATGCAATCCATTCTGAAGACTGCATTCCTTCATCTTCTATAACAAGTGCTTCAAATTCTTCTCAACTTTCAGCAAGCAACATTGTGTCATCTGCATAATGTAGATTGCTAAAGAGTCTCCCTCCAATCCTGATACCACATTGCTCTTCACTGAGTCCAGTTTCTCAGATAATTTGCTCAGCATACAAACTGAATAGGTATGGAGAGAGAATGTAACCCTGATGCACTTCCTTCTCAATTTTAAACCATGCAGTATTCCGTTGCTCTGTTCACACAACGGCCT